AAATTCTGGACGCGAACAACACGTTTTTTGGGCTTACGATTGATCCAACTCCTACAACGTAATCTCGTACTATGACATTCTCCATTGAAGGTAAAATTATTGCTTGATCTTTTTTTGGGAATGTGTGCTTGACAACATTCGCGTACAGACTGCTCTCGCTGTTGACGTTGAAGGATTGATTAGAATTTTCGGGATCCCTGGTATCAGAAACCCCTACATTCTGCGTGGTGGTACTCATTTTTCATTGAATGAACATTTATAGATTATGGGCGAATGTTTATTTACAAGTTTGGATGGATAAAAGTTTGTTATTTATCGGCCTTGCGGCCTTCACTTACATGTGTGTGTCTTTATCACTATTTATTAAATTATAAATTCAGGTGTCTCTATCACTAAAATTAAACGAAAAACGTACGGTAATAATCTTAATTACTAAATTTAATTCATTCAACACCAATACCAAGAGTAAAGAAGAACACGTCTTAACTCTAGCGCGTACGAGTGAGTTTTCGAGGTATAATCTGCATTGTGGTGCATATTACATTTATCGTACGTACAGGAAGGGCCTATACATATGTGTAGTTGATAGTCCTGCATTGCAAACACTCTAGTTTTTGCTTCTATTAATAGCGAATACCTTTTAGTTCCGCTTTTATTACACCGCGAGGATACCGAATAATAAACATTTAAATGATAATGCCTGGTTGCGCGAGTGCAAAATGTAATAATTATTCACGAAAAATGAAGGGCTAAGATGTTAAATACTTCGCAAGTGAATATACGTATGCGAAAAAATTACGAGGAGACGCTGTGGCCGAGTCAAATAAGAACTTTCTTAGAATAGAAGAATAAGCTTGGTACAAAATTACATGCAAAAATTAAAAAAAATAAGCTGAAAGCAATTTGTTTAATACAGGGTGGGGCAGGGAAACATCCCTACTTTTGAGGTGGCATTGTCAGTAGTGGGGACATGTTGGAGGAGTGGGGGTAGGTTCGAATGACACTGTGGCCACGGAATTTTCCGATAGTAGCGCTGTCAGTTGTAGACATGGCTTGGTCGAATGAGCAACGCGCTTTTGCTGTCGAGACGTATTTTTCTCAGAATAAGTCTATTGTTACAGTGCAGCGTGCGCTGCGAACTCGTTATCGGATTCCCCCTCGCAACCCTGTTCCTGACCGCAAATCCATTTTGTTGTGGGTGGAAAACTTCCGTGCATGTGGTAGTGTAGTGAAAAAGAGAGTTGTGGCTCGGAGAACTGTCCGAACTCCAGAAAACATTGACCGTGTCAGAAGATCGATCTTGCAGTCTCCTAAGCGTTCTGCCCGCAAGCATGCATCCGCCCTTGCATTGTCTAATCGCACTGTGCGTCGTATTCTCCACGAAGAACTCCACTTCCATCCATACAAGATGGTCATCGTTCAAGAACTCACACAACGGGACTGGCAACAACGAGTACAGGCATGTGAAACTTTAATTGCTGACTTGCCTCATGATGCACGAGTTTTGTTTAGTGACGAAGCGCACTTCCACATTTCTGGAGTTGTTAATAAGCAGAATATGCGTTATTGGAGTGGTGCAAACCCTAGGGTAGTTCATGAGAGGCCTCTACACAGTGAAAAAGTGACTGTTTGGTGTGCAATCAGCAGTGAAGGCATAATTGGGCCTTATTTCTTCGAGGAGGACAATCGTTGTGTTACCATCAATTCCGAGCGGTATGTAAACATGCTCCAACAATTTCTTGCACCACAATTGCAACAGAATAATTTTGGAGTAGTGTGGTTTCAGCAGGATGGTGCCACAGCCCATACTGCTAGACATTCGATGGCTGTTTTGAGGGAAATGTTCCCCGGGCGATTAATCTCCCGGTATGGTGACATTCCATGGTCTGTGCGCTCGCCGGATTTAACTCCGTGTGATTACTTTTTATGGGGATACCTCAAGAGTGAAGTGTTTAAACATCGACCCAGAACCCTACAAGACTTGAAGGATGCAGTTCGCGTTGAAGTTGCCCGCATTCCACAACAAATGCTTCGCAGAGTTATGCAGAACTTCAGAACCAGACTAGATCAGTGTGTTGACAATGAGGGACATCACTTGAATGATGTATTGTTTAAAACAAAGTAAGAATTAACTTCCATCTGTACCCTTTTGATGCCACAATAAAGTTTTGTTCTAACACTTTTCGTTTTTTTTAAATTTACCTTCAAAGTTAGGGGTACTTCCCTACCCCACCCTGTATAATTAATCTGATTAATACGATGTAGGTGAACTAGGATATTTACAGTAGGCGGAAATACGTTTATTGCTTCGATCATTTAGATATACGTGAGTGTATCAAATTATTAAATACATTTTGATTGATTACAAGCCCTAGTGTGCTATATTTTCAAACTGTTTAAAAAATAGAGGTACATGATCTTCGTTTTCCATTTACCTATACGCGCTTGGCGCACCATTTGAACAATACCTCTACTTACATTTTATCTGCTTTGCATTTCATTGTAATGTTTTTGTGCGAGCTTGCATTTGTGTATGTAATATTACATACTCAAATAAACCTAAATTTCGCTGACAGATACACAAATAATAGTGCGTTTCCGTAACCTCTTCCCTATGCATTTGTATACGCGCGCCGGAGTTTGTTACGTGATTGACGTCATACGGCGTGGGGAAAGGGGACACGATGCGCGTTGCGATACCCTTTTTATTATACCATGCGCGTTAATACCCGCAATCGTCCACCCACACACTAATGGCCCACCCTGTGTATAAGTGTAAAAACGGGATTTTTTGCAGTAGCTAATTAATGCAAGCTATAATTGTTGGTCAGAAGTCAATTATTAAGATGCGACAAATCTACTGTAAACTCGCCTTTCATTAAAACATTCCTTGATAGTCTATACATACACGATGAAGTTGGTCGCGCAAACAAATATCGTAGTGCTTATCCGCGGTCAAGCAATTAATCAATTTACCTCATTGGGGTGCTTTCAACGAGGGCACTACAGTACTACACAAAGGGGGGTCGATTTCTCGGAAACGACCGGTCGTGCTGATGCAAGTTATGGAGCACTAAGCACTAAGTTGCACCAACTAAATTAAGCCTTGCTTAAAGTTAAGTCGAACTTAAAATCTATGGCAACGATTATTAACACAATGATCGTTGCCATGGTATTTAAGTTATGCTTAACTTTAAGGGATGCTTAATTTTGATGGTGCAATTTGCCCTGAGAAGCACTAACGATTAGTACTTGTCCGGTCGTTAGTGCTTTCAACGAGGATAGGAAGTCAGCACTACACAAGGGGGGGGGGGGGCGATTATTCGGAAACGGCTGGGCGGGCTGATGCAAGGTATGAAGCACTAGTAGTCAATCGTCCGTCCATTAAGTCTTT